TGGTTACCAGGGGGCAAGTTCAGTCAAGGAAGTCTGAACTGCTAATACCCTTTCAAGGTCGTAAACCAGTGTGGTCTAAAATCTTAGAAGAGTTCCGACTTTGAAGATATGAATTAGCCTCATCTCCTTATTGGTCTGGTATCTTTGGTATTTTTAATGATACTAATACTTCCCACAAAGAAGAAATACAACTTATATTTTAAAGGCAGATAGTATCCAGAGGCTTCCTGGATGTCCCCCAGGCATCACAGATGTAACCTGTCCACAGTGGAGTTATTTCCTTTCCCCCATAGCTGTCCCTCCCCTCTTGTCCTTAGTTTCCAGTCTCCACCTGTCGTTGAGCTGAATGCAGGCTTTCGGGCCTTGCTGACCTCACCTCTGTATCCAGTCACCATCACAGCCGTGTTCATTTTACTGCCTGTGCTCTGTCAGGTGTGCACCTTGTAGTGGGCCCCGTTGCTTCTGCTTTGGGGTAGATCCGCTCTGCCTTGGGCTTCTATCACCTCACTGAACAATGCATTCACCGTCTGGCCACCATCATCGTTTCTTGGGCACATTTCTTCCTGTTCTCTACTGAAGGGCTTTTATGGGTTTCTTTGATGCACAGGAGAAGTTCAGAATGGCAGGCAAAGCCCCTGCATCTCCCCAGGCTCAGATCTTTCCACCATCCCAGCATGCCTCGCTCTCACCACAGCTGGAACGTGGGGCACTTGGAACCCTCTGGTTTTTTGCCTGCCTTAAGAGATGAAAATTCCTTAAGAACCTTGCATTTTTCATTGTTTCTGAATGTCCAGGTCTAGCAATGCCTGTACAACTTAGAATCTGTATAAATATCAGTTCAGTGAGTGAGTGTTTCAGAGTATGATGGAAAGAGCTAGAGGAGAACACAATAGTGTTACAATGGTTCAAGAAGACAGCAAAGAGTGATGGTGACGAGAGTAAGGGAGAGGATAGTTTACTAAGGGGACTGTGTGTTGTGGTTGAGTTGGAAATCCTGGTGGCGTTTAGTGGTGATGAGTTTCTGGCTCGCATTCTGGAATCAGGGTATTTTGTTGCTGCAGAAGTGCAGGTGGTATTTGAGGTCAAATGAAAGTAGCTTGATACACTCCAGTCAGCAGTCATTGGCGCACGTATATCAGATGTTCATAGTAACAACAAGGCATTTATCAAGTGCTTTCTAGTGTATGTTATTTTATTTCCATTATTTTATTTGACCCCCAGAGCAGGTAACTCCCTGAGCTTTGGTTTCCTTATCTTGGAAATCTTTTCCAAGACATATTATGTCTGGTACACCATTAAGTCCCAGTGATGATGCGGTTAGGAATTTTAAGCTAAGAATGCTTAAATGACTTGTTCGAGGACAGAAAGGTCAGTTAGTGGCAAATGTAAGCATAACATTGTTCCGCCTGCCCTCATTGTAGTACTCTTTTGATTGTAACAGACTATAATGAGATACTACCTTCCTTAATATCTTCTGTATCACTTGGTGCACGGCATCTTGAATTTCCTTGTGAGGCTTACCCAAAATAGACTTTAGAATAACTACAAGGGGAGCGTGTGGCAGCCCTCGGTGTGTGGTGAGGCCTTATGCGGCCCCGCATGGGATGGGGACAGCCAGGCTGACATGCGGCTCTGGGCTTGCCCCGCTGTGAACGGGAGGCCACGCAGGCCCCAGGCCGGCCTGCATCTCTGCTGGGCCCCACCTGGCACGGGCAAGGGCACCATAAATAGACTTTGCCTACTCTCATGACTGAATATATAAACTTGCAAGAAATGCATGCACAAAGATTTTTACATGGCAGTCTATGAAACACGTGATAATTCTTCAAGGCGCATTTCTCCCCTCATTTATACAACAGTGTTGACCATGTAGGGTCCCCAGGGTGTTGTGGGCTGTTTCAGCTGGCACCTGGGAGGGTCTCTTCTCGCTGTAGGTGATTGTTCTGTGAAGCCCTCATGCCGTCCTCTGTCTGCGAGTGCAGAAGCTGTGGTAGAGTCTCCCAGAGGTTTTGAATGGACAGGAGTATTTAGAACAGCAAGTGGGAAGGGAAATGTTAGCCTCTGTTACTGTCTCTGCTCGTGCTTAGGAAATTCCTGTTGTCCTCCCAGCTGGGTTTTCTGTGTCCAAAACTAATTGCACATTTTCCATAAAGAAGTATCCCTGCCGGCGCTGTGGCTCAATAGGCTAATTCTCCGCCTTACGGCGCCGGCACACCAGGTTCTAGTCCCGGTCGGGGCACTGGATTCTGTCCCAGTTGCCCCTCTTCCAGGCCAGCTCTCTGCTGTGGCCCAGGAGTGCAGTGGAGGATGGCCCAAGTGCTTGGGCCCTGCACCCCATGGGAGACCAGGAGAAGCACCTGGCTCCTGCCTTCGGATCAGCGCGATGCACCTGCCGCAGCACGCCGGCTGCGGCGGCCATTGGAAGGTGAACCAACGGCAAAGGAAGACCTTTCTCTCTGTCTCTCTCTCTCACTGTCCACTCTGCCTGTCAAAATAAATAAATAAATAAATAAAAATAAATTAATTAATTTAAAAAAAGGTATCCCTGTCACTGGGAGGAATCAAGCCTTTCTGCTTGACGTGGGGGATTGAGTCCTTGAGAAAGTTCACTGTGGTGACGCTGCCGTCCTTCCTGCAAGGGGTGGATTTGGTGCACTTCGATGGTCACTAATCAGATGGAGAGTTGCAGTGGCCTCTGTCTTTCCCAAGCTCTAGTCGGCATCAGAATCACCGGGAATCACAGCGGGTGGTCTCTGGCTTGGTGGTTTTGGAGTGGAGTCCAAGAACCTGCGTTTCTCACTGCTTGTCGCACGATCTCCATGCTGCAGACCTGGAGACGCCCAGCCCTGACCCTCAGGCAGTGGGAGTAGGATGGTGTCATCCCTGTGTTCTGCCTGGGGTGGGTTCTGGATTACGCCTGCCTCGAGGATGTCCACTGTCACTGTGGAGCTCGTGGGGCACTCGCTTCACCTTGCATTTGTTTATTTTGTTATAAAAATCTTGTGACTTTCTAGGGTGGCTATAATCTAATGTTGGCAGGAGAAACTGAGACCCTCATTATCAGTGGGAGTGTGAAATTGGTACAGCCATTTTGGAAAACACTCTGGCAGTTCCTCAAAAAATAGACATTCCACATACCAGCAGTTCTCCCAGGCATGAGGCGTTTTCAAACAATACATGGAAAATGTATATGATATCAACCCTGTGCATGGATTTCAGGATTATTTGCACCAAGTGTGGGCGTTTGGTGTAGTGGTTAAGATGTTGGTTAGGATGCCTGCATCCCATATCAGAATGTCTGGGATTGTATTCTAGCTCCAGCTGCTGATTCTGGCTTCCTGGGAAGTAGCAGGAGATGGCTGTAGCAGTGTGGTCCCTGTCTGGGTTGAGTTGCTGGCTCCCTGCTTTGGCATAGCCTGGCCATGATTCTTGCAGGCACTGGGAAGTGAACCGGTGGATATGGAGCTTTCTCTGTCTTTGTGCCTCTCAAATTAAATATATATATATATATATATATATATATATATATATATATGGCATCACATTTTTGAATTCCATTTTCCATGAACTTTTGAAGTCCCTTCTTAGGTCCCAAGAGAATTGAAAACATATCCTTGCTCTATGTGACTGTTCATGGTAGCGTTATTCATAAAAGGCAAGAGGTAAAATAACCCAAATGTCAGCCGATGAATGAATGTGTGGCATATCCATACAATACTGTATTATTCAGCCTTAACAAGGAATGAAGCTGCATGCTAAAAGTGGGTGAACTTGTTTTTTTTATAAAGTGTTTCTTTTCCATCCATGTGAAAGAGTGACAAGCAGACTTCGACCTGCTAGTTCACTCCCACATGCCTGCAGTAGCCAGAGTTGGGCCATGCTGAAGCCAGGAACCAGGAACTCACTCTCGGTCTCCCACAGGGGCAGCTGCCTCTCAGGGTGCATCAGCAGGGAGCTGGATCACAAGCAGAGGTGCTGGGACTCAGAGCACTCTGCTATGGGGTGTGGCATCCTGAGCAGCAGCTTCCCCATCTGTGCCACTGCACCTGCCCCCTTGGGTGAACCTTGAAAGCATGATAAGTGAAAGAAGCCAGTTACAAAAGCCGCATACTGTATGGTTCCACCTACGTGAAATGCCCAGAATAGGAAAATCCATAGAAATGGAAAAGTTCGTGTTTGCCAGGAGCTGGTAGGGTGCCGGGCTTGAAGAATGAGAACTGACTGCTAATGGTTGGGCTGTGATCACAGTGGTGATGGTTGTACAACTCTTTCAAGCTATTGAGCACACTGAATTGTAAAAGGCAAATATGGCATGTGAGTTATATCTCAATATAACTGTTGATGGGAAAAATAAATTCTGCCATTGGGGCCAGCGCTGTGGCGTAGTGGGTAAAGCTGCTGCCTGCAGTGCCAGCATCCCATATGGATGCTGGTTTGAGTCCCGGCTGCTCCACTTCCGCACCAGCTCTCTGCTATGGTCTGGGAGAACAGTAGAGGAATACTCAAGTTCTTGGGCCTCTGCAGCTGCATGGGAGACCAGAAGAAGCTCCAGGCTCCTGGCTCCAGATCAGCCAAGTTCCAGCCGTTGCGGACATTTTGAGAGAGAACCAATAGATAGAAGACCTCTATCTCTCTCTGCCTTTCTGTAACTCTGCCTTTCAAATAAATAAATAAATATTTAAAAAAATAACTAGAGAGCTTATTATCACATTTAAGCAAAATTGACCCATTGGCTAAACCATATGGAAATATACATAATATTCTTATAGCTTGCACTGCTTTCTAGTTTCTGCATTTTACACTTGAGGATTTTCCTTGAAGAATCTATGTCTATGGAAATGTGCTTTCATTTTAATTGCTTTTTAATATACTGCTTTTGAATCCAGTTCTGTGCTAGACAGAGTGGCAGTGTGGGCCCCCACATTAAGACAGAAGACACTAGATGCAGGACTGGAGCAGACAGAATAATCACACCTGTCTGTCCTTGTGTTTTCTTATAGGTTTCTGTCAAGGAAGAATCTGAACCCCCAAAATGTGAACCGAAGATAGCATTACTAAGTAAAAAAATTTCAGCAGGTATTCTAAAGTACATATTTGAGACTTAATATTATTGAAATTTTCTTCTTATGTGATCATTGTAAAGAACAATTCAGATACAGCAAGAAGGTTTTAAAGTAAGAATTCCCCATAGTGCTTCCTCAGAAATAACCAAGGTTAACTGATTTCTTTTATTTGCTATTTCTCGATTTTTAATAATGCTATGGAATTATGTATCTAATTCCACAAATGTTTTTATGGAAAGTTACTTTTTTTCTACCTAATATGTTACATACATTGAGCACTATATATTCTTTTTTTCTTTTTATTTTTTTAAAGCTTTTATTTAATGAATGAATTTTTCATACGTACAGCTTTGGGAATATAGTGGTTCTTTCCCCCATACACACCCTCCCACCCCAACTCCCATCCCACCTCCTACTCCCTCTCCCATCCCATTCTTGGTTCATTTTTAGTTTGATTTTATATACAAAGGACCAACTACATTTTTTAAAAAAGATCTTATTTATTTGAAAGACAGAATTACAGAGAGAGGTAGAGACAGAGAGTTCTTCCATTCGCTGGCTCACTCTCCAGATGGCTGCAATGGCCAGAGCTGTGTTGATCTGAAGCCAGGAGCCAGGAAGTTCCTCTGGGTTTCCCACGCAGGTGCAGGGGCCCAAGGACCTGGGCCCTCTTCCACTGCTTTCTGAGGCCATAGCATACAGCTGGATCGGAAGAGGAGCAGCTGGGACTAGAACCAGTGCCCATATGGGATGCTGATGCTTCAGGCCAGGGCTTTAACCCGCTGTGCCACAGTGCCAGCCCTGACCACCTCTATGTGAAGTACAGATTACAACAGTTTGCACCCACACAAACACAACATATAGAGTTCAATTTGAGAACAAGATTTGCAGTTAATTCTCATAGTACAATTCATTGAGGACAGAGATGCTACATGGGAAGTAAGTGCATAGCGACTTCTGTTGTTCCTTTAGCAGTTAACACTATTATTTGTGACTTTAGTGATCACCCGAGGTTCTTGCCATGGTCTGCCAAGGCTGTGGAAGCCTTTTGTGACCATAGACTCCATCAGTATTTGCACATGGCCATAAACAAAGCAGAAGTTCCCTCCTCCCTTCAGAGAAAAGTACATCCTTCTTTGATGGCCCATTCTTTTCACTAAGGTCTCACAGAGATCCTTCATGTAGGATATTTTTTGCCACAGAGTCTTCACTTTCCATGCCTGAAATGCATGCTCTCACAGGCCTTTCAGCCAGACCTGGAAGCCGTAAGGGCTGATTCTGAGGTCAGAGTGTTATTTACAGCGAGTGTCATTCTAGGAATCTGCCGTGCAGACTCCTTCCCATATTGGACATTCCTTCCTTTTTAATTCTATTATTATCAGGCACCTGATGTTATTTATATGATCACTTTTATGCTTAAACCTATCTACATGTTGACTTTAACATTTAATAGGATCATTTTAACAATTAAGATGGCATTTATACCAATGATTTTAATGAGTTTGGAGTCCCATGGCAAATTTTTAGGCTGTACCCTTAGAAGTAAGTCTGTTGGACTGTATACAGAACTATACACCTTTACATTATAGATTACCTCCTCCCTCTCTTATTCCCCCTCTAATTTTTTACTGGGATCTTTTTCCAAATGACTTTACATACGTATGATTAGCTCTGTATTACATAAAGAGTTCAGCATATAGTATGAAGAAGAGAAAAGCAAAACAAAACAAAAAGGAAATACAAAATCAAAAATAAAAATAAAGAACTGTCCCTCGACCGTCAGGATACAGTCTATTCAAGTCATTGGTTCTAAAAGTGTCAATTTTACTTCCGTAACTTTCATTTTTTTTTTAATATTTTCTTTTTATTTTTTATTTTATTTTTTTATTATTTATTTATTTATTTATTTATTTTTGACAGAGTGGATAGTGAGAGAGAGAGACAGAGAGAAAGGTCTTCCTTTGCCGTTGGTTCACCCACCCCTCCAATGGCCAACCACAAGCCGGCCGCACTGCGCTGATCCGATGGCAGGAGCCAGGTACTTATCCTGGTCTCCCATGGGGTGCAGGGCCCAAGGACTTGAGCCATCCTCCACTGCACTCCCTGGCCACAGCAGAGAGCTGGCCTGGAAGAGAGGCAACCGGGACAGAATCCGGCGCCCCGACCAGGACTAGAACCCGGTGTGCCGGCGCCGCAAGGCGGAGGATTAGCCTAGTGAGCCGCGGCGCCGGCCGTAACTTTCATTTTAGGAGTGCTATTGATTCTCACAAATAAGGGAGAACATATTGTATTTGTCTCTTTGGGACTTGGTTATTTCAGTAAGTATGAGATTTTCCAGCTTGCTCTGTTTTGTTTCAAATGACCAGATTTCATCCTTTTTTACTGCTATGTAGTATTCCACAGTGTATAAATCCCACAATTTCTTTATCCTGTCTTTGGTTGATGGAATTTAGATTGAGTCCATGTCTTAGCTATTGTGAATTGAGCTGCAATAAATATGGAGGTACAGGTGGCACTTTTCTTTACTGATTTCATTTCCCTTGGGTAAATTCCCTGGAGTGGGATGGCTGGGTCATACACTAGATCTGTATTCAGATTTTTGAGGTATCTCCATACTGTCTTCCATAGTGGCTTTACAAGTTTACATTCCCACCAAGAGTGGAGTAGGGTATCTTTTTTCCCACATCCTCTCTAGAATTTGTTGTTTGTTGATTTTCTGTATGAGGGCTACGCTAACTGGAGTGAGGTGAAACCTCATTGTGGTTTTGATTTGCATTTCCCTGACAGATGGTGATCTTGCAAATTTTTTTACGTGTCTGTTTGGCCATTTGGATGTCCTCTTTTGAGAAATGTCTGTTTAAGGCCTTGGCCCTTCTCTTAACTGGGTTGTTTGTTTTGTTGTTATGGAGTTTCTTGATCTCTTTGTAGATTCTGGTTATTAATCCTTTATCAGTTTCATAATTTGCAAATAATTCCTCCCAGTCTTTTGGTTGCCTCTTGACTTTCCTGACTGTTTCTTTTGCCATAAAGAAGCTTCTCAATTTGAAATAATCCCTTTTGTAAATTTGGCCTTGACTGCCTATGCCAGTGACTTGCAGGGTTTCCCCAATGTTCTCTAATAATTTGATGGTGTCGGGTTATAGATTTAGATCTTTAATCCATGTTGAGTGGATTTTTGTGTAAGGTATAAGGTAGGGGTCTTGCTTTATTCTTCTGCATGTGGACATCCAGTTTTCCCATACCATTTGTTGAAGAGATTGTCCCTGCTCCTGGTATTGGTTTTAGCCCCTTGGTCAAATATAAGTTGGTTGTAGATGCTTGGATTGATTTCTGGCATTTCTATTATGTTCCATTGGTCTATCCATCTGTTTCTGTTCCAGTACCAGGCTGTTTTGCGTATAACTGCCCTCTAGTATGTCTTGAAGTCTGGTATTGTGATGCCTCTGGCTTTTTGTTATTGTTGTTATATAAGATTGCTTTAGCTATTCGAGGTCTCCTGTTCCTCCATATGAATTTCAGCATTCTTTTTTCTAGATCTGAGAAGAATGTATTTTGATTGACATCACACTGAATCTGTAAATTGCTTTTAGAATAATGGGTATTTTGATGATACTGATTCTTCCAATCCATGAAAATGGAACAGTTTTCCATATTTTTTTGGTATCTTCTTCTATTTCTTTCTTTAAAGTTTTGTTATTCTCATCATGGAGATCTTTGACATCCTTGGCTAAATTTATTCCAAGGTACTTGATTAGTTTTGTGGATATTGTGAATGGATTGATCTTAGAAGTTCTTTCTCAGCCATGGTATTGTCTATATATACAAAGGATGTTGATTTTTGTAAATTGACTTGGTATTCTATTTTACCAAACTTTTCTAGTTTGAGTTCCAATAGTCTTTTAGTGGATGGAGTCTTTTGGATCTCCTGTACATACAATCATGCCATCTGCAAATAGGGATATTTTGACTTCTTCCTTCCCAATTTGTATCCCTTTGATTTCTTTTTCTTGCTTAATGGCTCTGGCTAAAACTTGCAGTACTATATTGAATAGCAGTAGTGAGAGTGGGCATCCTTGTCTGGTACCAGATCTCAGTGGAAATGCCTCCAACTTTTCCCCATTGAATATGATGCTGACCATGGGTTTGTCTTAAATCGCCTTGATTGTGTTGAGGAATATTTCTTCTAAACCCAATTTTCTTAGAGTTTTCATCATGAAAAGATGTTGTATTTTGTTGAATGCTTTCTCTGCATCTATTGAGATAATCATATAGTTTTTGTTCTTCAATTTGTTAAAATGATGTATCTCAGTGATTGATTTTTGAATGTGGAACCATCCCTGCATGCGAAGGATAAATGCCACTTGGTCCAAGTGAAGGATCTTTCTGATGTGTAGTTTGATTTGATTGGCCAGGATTTTGTTGAGGATTTTTGTGTCTATGTTCATCAGGGAGATTGGTCTATAGTTTTCTTTCTCTGTTGAGTCTTTTCCAGGTGTAAGAATTAAGGTGATATTAGTGTCATAGAAAGATTTTGGGAGGATTCCCTCCCTTTCAGTTGTTTTGAATAATTTGAGGAGAACTGAGGTAGTTCTTCTTTAAAAGTCTGGTAGAATTCAGCAGTGAATCCATCTGGTCCTGGGCTTTTCTTTGTTGGGAGGGCCTTATTAATAGTGATTCAATTTCTGTCTCAGTTATGGGTCTGTTTAGGGTTGTCTTTTTCTTCATGACTCAGTTTAGGTAAGTTGTATGTGTCCAGGAATCTATCCATTTCTTCTGGGTTTCCCAATTTATTGGCATGCCTGCGGCTCTTTTTAGGGCTTTCTGATGTTTCTTTTTATTTCTGTGGTGTCTGTTGTTACATTTCATGTACCATCTCTAATTTTATTGATTGGAGTCTTCTCTCTCCTTTTTTTGGTTAGTTGGGCCAGTGGTGTGTCAATTTTGTTTATTTTTTCAAAAAACCAGTTATTCATTTTGCTGATCTTTTGTATTTTTTGTTTCAATTTTGATGATTTCTTCTCTAATTTTAATTATTTCTTTTCTTCTACATGTTTTGGGTTTGATTTGCTGCTGTTTTTCTAGATCCTTGAGGAGCATAGAGAGTTCATTTATTCAGTACCTTTCCAGTTTGTTGATGTAGGCACCATATTCTATGCAGATGAATAATAATCAGTATGAGTTTTTGTTGTAGTAGTTGTGTAATTCTATCCAATAATGAGCATTATTAAATTCCTACTGACAGATGATAAGGTTTCTTCTAATGTTTTCTTACAAACAACCTTGTAATAAACTTTGAAAGGCACACAGACACAGTTGGGAGTTTCTCAACACTTCTGACTATGTCCAGGTTTTTGTAATCAGTCTTAGCATGTAGGAATTGCATATAATTTGGAAATGTCAATGTGAGAGTGATGTCTACTTTGTCAGTCTTTCAGTTTGAGATTTATACACATCTTTTTCCATTAACCTTGTCATTAAGCTTCTTTCCCTGTAACTTCCAAGGTATCTATATTTTGTACATTTTTCATAACAGCCTCTTGTCTTTTTCATTATTTCAGCAGTCATCCAGATTAAGTCTTAATAATCTTCCAGTGGTCCTTTACCACATAATTTTCCTGCTAAAAATATGACACAGGAGTCAGATAATGAGCCCCTGTCAGTGATACCAAGTTTTTCTACATGCCGATCCCCAGATAATATAAATACCAACTATCTAAATTTGGACATAGTTTTTTTTTTCTTGCTTTTTTTGGGTAAATGAATTATTACTTGGATACATTTAAAATTAGAGATTGCAATTTATTGAATATGGGGAGTGAAGGGCAAGCAGTTGACTGGAATTTTCTTTGGTTATGTCCATTCATTTTGAACAGCAGATCCCCATGAGTTCATTTCAGTGCCATCCCAGTGCCTCCCCTCATGGGTGAGGAAAGTTATGATAATAACTGATAACAACATCAGTTCCTGGGTTTTTACCGTGTGTGGCACCAGTTCTAAGCTCTTGACATGTTATTAACTCACTCGTCCTCTGACATCTGAAAGATAGACACTACTGTTGTATGTGTTCTGTAGATTATGAGACTGAGAACCGAGATTGTTAATTAACACATCCTGTCCAAGGTCCTACACAAAGGGAGCTAAGAAAGGGTGGTAAGTGGTCTGACTTCCCTTTCTCACCACTGCACAACTTCATATAAATCTCACTGAAGGTTGAGAATGGCCCTTGGCTGGCACCACGGCTCACTAGGCTAATCCTCCACCTGCAGCACCAGCACCCTGGGTTCTAGTCCCAGTCAGGGCGCCGGATTCTGTCCTGGTTGCTCCTCTTCCAGTCCAGCTCTCTGCTGTGGCCTGGAAGAGCAGTGGAGGATGGCCTAAGTGCTTGGGCCCTGCACCCATGTGGGAGACCAGGAGGAAGCACCTGGCTCCTGGCTTTAGATCGGCACATATTGGCCATTTTGGGGGTGAACCAACGGAAGGAAGACCTTTCTCTCTGTCTTTCCCTCTCTAAAAACAAAACAAAACAAAACAAAACAAACAGAGAGAGAGAGAGAGAATGGGCCTTATGACATGTCATTTCAGCTGTTGCTTCTGACTGTGTGCTGAGAACCATGGAATCACAGAGTTTCTCATAAAATTTCTGAACACTGCAGATTATCCAGTCTAGTTTCTGCATTCTCAGGGCTCCACTGTTTTTCTATGAGCAGGGCCTTTTTTTGTTGAAAAAAAAAAAAACAGGTTTAGTTTTATATATGAGACAATATCTATGTTTTCATTATTTTCTTCTTTCAGATTTTTAGCCTTATAATGTCTAATTTTAAATGAATCTGGCAGTTTAATTTTGTTAAACTCTTTTTATCAATGCAAAATGTATTTTTTATCTTGTTCATTCAAGCTTTTATTTTGCAAATTGCTAAACATGTTTCTATGTGAAATATAAATGAAACCATCCCCTACAGCCTGCCATCAGACACGTCCATTCCCACTTCCAAGGTTAGCTTGATGAAGAGTGTTGAGTTCATTATTGGAGAAGTTTCAGTGGGTAGTTGAACAACAACCTCCTCTACCAGTCTGAGAATTTTTTTTCATTTCCTTCCCAAGAAAATACAAAACAAATGTTGTGATGCATTTGGAAACTGTATTTATCTGATTAACTTCAGCACAGTTGTTGCTCATCAAGAATGCTCCAGAAAAGCCTGGTATCTTTGAAGAAAATGAAGTGGACTTGTTCCAGTTCACAACTCTGGGTGGAGTGTACAACTTGGAGATCCTGGAGCTTCCCCCGCAGTGTAAACCAGTGAAGGGCTGGATGATTGTGGAAGTAGGTTGATTTCTTGACTGTAAACCTGAAGGTCAAAGTTTCTCCTCCTTACTTTATTTGAAATGCTCTGACAGCTAAGGAGCTTTAACCTTATTAAGGCAAAAAAGGGGGATTTTGAACTGTCTTGAATTTATAGGTACTGAAAATTTGAATCAGATACTAAAAGACTCTGAAATAATACACTATTTAAGATGAATTCATAGAGTTAAGTGTAAAACCTACAGCAGTATGTTTTGATACTGCCAAATTTGCCTTAATAATGGTAGTCTAGATCCAACTTGGCAAACCATTTCTGTAAAAAGCCAGATGGTAAATATTTTCAGCTTTGTGGCCTATTCCAGCTCTGTTGAAACTGCTCAACTTTGCCATCATATGCTGAAACTGCGGTTCGTACTAAATGAATAAGCACAGCCAAGTTCCAGTTAACATTAATTTACAAAAATCACTGGTGGTTTGTACCTCCCAAGGACCGTCGCTCGTGAACTCTGGTTTAGATCGGTGGTTGCCTACGTGTGGTCACTTGAGGAGAAGCAGCACCATCCCAGGGTATCACCTGGAGTCTCTTAGAAATGCCAGTCCGTAAGTCTGGCCTGAAGCTACTGTATCAGAAACTCTGCAGGTGAGGCTCAGCACTGTGCGTTTCAGCCCTGGTCTGGATCCTTGCTCTGCATTGTCTGGGGGCCGGCACTGCGGCCTAGCAGGTGAAGGCGCCACTTGCAGTGCCAGCAGCCCATATGAGTTCTGGTTCTAGTCCCGGCCGCTCCTCTTCCAATCGAGTTCTCTGCCATGGCCTGGGAAAGCAGTAGAAGATGCCCAAGTCCTTGGGCCCCTGCACCCATGTGGGAGACCCAGATGAAGCTCTTGGCTTCAGATTGGCGCAGCTCTGGCCATTGCAGCCAACTGGGGAGTAAACCAGTGAATGGAAGAACTCTCTATTTCTGCCTTTCCTTCTCTCTCTATAATTCTGACTTTCAAATAAAAAAAATCTTAAAAAAAAAAAAAGGATAAAAACAAATCTGGAGCATCAGTGTCACCTGGAAACAGTAGCCTGAGAAGCACTGATCCAGGGAAGCCCAAGGCTGTCGGTGCATGGAGCGCACCTGGGTGACAGTACCGATGAGAGCTCCTGGCAGGTCATGCTCCAGGGTGTCCTGCTTCTGAATCACAAGCAGTATCCCTTGTCCAGCTATTGACTTGCCCTGTTTGAACTTGACCTAATGGTGGTTTGTGTCCCATAGTATACTACCATAATACTCAGTTATGTGGTCAGAGTCTACCTGCCCTTTGCTTTCTCTCTCCCTTCCTTTATCCCCTCCCTGTCCACACCCCCACCCACAGCCTCTCTCTTCACTGTCTTTACTGTCTCCTCTTCTGTCCCTCCTCCTGATTTTTTTTTTTAAGATTTATTGGATTTATTTGAAAGTCAGAATTACACAGAGAAGGAGAGGCAGAGAGAGAGAGAGAGAGGTCCTCCATCTGCTGGTTCATTCCCCAATTGGCCACAATAGCTGGAGCTGCACCGATCCAAGGCCAGGAGCCAGGAGCTTCTTCGGGGTCTCCCACTCAGGTGCAGGGGCCCATGGGCTGGGCTATCTTCTACTGCTTTTCCAGGCCGTAGCAGGGAGCTGGGCTGGATTGTAAGACGAGCAGTCGGGACTCAAACTGGTGCCTATATGGGATGCCGGCACTGTAGGCGGCGGCTTTATCTGCTGCACCACAGCACCAGCACCAGCCTCCTCCTGATTTTAATACCACATACACATGCACACACACACACACACACACACAGATTTATTTATTTGAAAGGTAGAATTACAGAGAGGCAGAGAGAGAGGTCTTCCATCTGGTAGTTCACTCCCCCAAATGGCCCTAACAGTTAGAGCTGGGTCCATCCAAAGACAGGAGCCAGGAGCTTCCTCTGGGTCTCCCACACAGGTGCAGGGACCCAAGGACTTGGGCCATCTTCCACTGCTTTCCCAGGCCGTAGCTGAGAGCTGGATTGAAAGTGGAGAAGCCAGGACTCAAACTGGTGCCCATATGTGATGCTGGCACTGCAGGAGGTGGCTTTACCCGCTATGCCACAGTGCCGGCCCCAGGACAGATATCTTGTTTATCTGTTTACACATTGTATGTCCACCTGAGCTTTATATACAAAAGAATAGCTTTTAAAAATTTTTTGAGAGGATGGAGAGAGCAAGTACTCATCTGATGCACTCCCAAAGTACCTGGAATGAGTTGGGCCTTGGCAATCCAGAAATCCAATTACTTGACCCATCACCTGCTGCCTCCCAGGGTTAGCATTTAGCAGGAAGCTGGAATCAGGACTAGAGTTGGGAACGGAACCTCAGCTTCCAATGAGGTATGTGAGCATCCAGACCATTGTCTTAACCGTTGAGCAAATGCCTGCCCCAAGAGTAATTTTTTCACCTGTCCCACCCAACTAATGTTCACCCCCATGGGGATGATACTGCCATTCTTTTCCCTTTGTCCCCACTAAGGAGAATACATTGATTTGAGCCAGTGTAGAGGGGGAAATAATGTGGTCCATAGCTACCCGAGAATGAATTTGAACCAGTCGTTCGTATCTGGGGGGCGAATTGTCCAAGAAAGACAGTTGCTTGCTAAAGGCAGGCTTTCCACACTGTCTGTGCGGAGGTCCCTGCTGAGCCGGAGCTTTGCAGGATCCATCCAGAGACCTGTGGTTCTTCATCTGTCACGGTATGCTGAGACCAGCACTCCCTGCTCTGCACACGAGCCCCAGGAAGTCTCACACCTGGATTTTTTCTCCTGCAAGGAAGAAGCATTCCTTCTCCCCGCCTTTTTTCAGTAACTGTCCACCTCTGGAATCTTCCCCCACCCAGTATTTTCTTTGCTTTCCAGCATTTCTAATCTTCCGCACTTTTCTAGACCCTCCTTGCTGTGCTTGACAATGCACGATCGTCCTCGCCCTGGGAAAGTCGGCTGTCCGCTGATCTCCTTCCATCCACTCCTTGCTGCCTTTCTTGGCATGTTGTCTGCGCTTTCTTCTCTCCTCACCTGTACGCCCTTACGTATTCCCATGCCATTTCTAGGATCTTTGTTCTTGATGGAAGTGAATAGGGGTTGCAGTTTTCAACTGTGTTGAATTTTGTAGCTGTTAGTACCTAAGCTGGTTATATTTGCCATAGTCCAAAAATTATTTTACAGTTACATAATTACACTATCTTAGAAAAGAAACAAATGAAAGTATCAACTGACTTCAGCACATCAAAAACTGATGAAAAGCGTATTCTGTCATAAAATAATCATTGAGACTGGGGTGATTAATATTTTGTAGGGTTTTTCAAATGGGGAGACAGGACATGGGAGCATCCATTCTAACAGTGCGCCATTGGATAGCTATGTGCTCTCACTGTATTTAGAAGGTACCAGCAAGTCCACAAGCCAGCAGGTGCGTAGGCAAGGTTACACATCAACTTAAGGATTTGGGAAATCTAACATAGGGATTAGAGCTGTGTTGTAAATCTTCAGAGACAGGTCTATTTAGATGCAAATTTGCAAATTCCCTAAAATAGTCCAGGTACCAATTAATGTGCATTAGCCCCCTGCTGCTCCCGCTGCCACATTCCTTTGGGGCTGGTGTGCCCATCCCTGGCCTGTTTTGGCGTGAGCAGAAACTGCGGCCCCGGTCCCATAGGCCTGTTTTTGAGTTCTGTTGCCTCCTTGTAGTTTCTCTGTAATTACTTGGTTTCTGTGGATCTTAGTTGTCTTCTGTGTTGAATACGCATAAAGGGTTTCTAGGGGAATAAACCAAAGAAAAGACCCCAGCATAGAAGTGGTCAATTGGAAGGTCAGTAATGAAACTGAAATTTAGTGATTGTTCCACCTTCATCATTTGTTTAATTTTGTTGTGGCATTTTGTTAGTCTGCAGATCAATGGGACCAAGCTTCAGTGCTTCCTAAAAATAACTTTGTATTTCCCACTGTTACCTGTCAGCTTCTAACTTGGTATTCTTCTGATTATTTTTAAAAGCTGCTCAAAGAAGGATTACAGAAGTACACATATCCTCCAGAAACTGTGGAAGACAATGAGACAGAAAACGCGTTCCCACCCATAGAGGTCACAGTTGAGATTCATGAAAATGTGGTCTTTTTTGAGGATCCTGAAGTTGTCAGGTGGGATGCCGAAGGTACAGCAATACTTTAACCATTATTTAGATTATGTAATAAAGATGGAAATGATCGTGCAGATCTTTAAGTTAAAACAAAATATAGTGTATAAACAGTTTCTTACATATTTCTAATGCCAATTCTAGCATTTTTGTTTGTTCTTGATGGAAATGAATGCAGTGTTAGAAGTCTAAATTTTTTTGGCCGGCGCCGCGGCTCACTAGGCTAATCCTCTGCCTAGCGGCGCTGGCACACCAGGTTCTAGTCCCGGTCGGGGCGCCGGATTCTGTCCCGGTTGTCCCTCTTCCAGGCCAGCTCTCTGCTGTGGCCAGGGAGTGCAGTGGAGGATGGCCCAAGTGCTTGGGCCCTGCACCCCATGGGAGACCAGGAAAAGCACCTGGCTCCTGGCTCCTGCCATCGGATCAGCGCGGTGCGCCGGCCGCAGCGCGCCGGCCGCGGCAGCCATTGGAGGGTGAACCAATGGAAAAGGAAGACCTTTCTCTCTGTCTCTCTCTCTCACTGTCCACTCTGCCTGTCAAAAAAAAAAAAGAAGTCTAATTTTTTTTTTAAATTTGCAACTATATGTGCTATGTTCTATGAACAGTTAACTTTACGGTTACATCATTTTGTTTCTTAAAAAAAGAAAATGAATGAAAATATCAATGTAATTCATCAAAAGTAAGGAGCCTACCCTCATAAAATAAATAATCAGACTAGGGTTATTAATATTTGATTATTTTAATGTTGGTCATTTAGAACAAATTGTGAACAAGTTGTAGGAATGAAAAGTGGACAAATGGAAAACCTGAGAAAGAACCATTTGTTGTTTTAGAATCGCTGATTCTTGAACCATGGGAAGTTATCGTTCATTCAAAATATTAAATATTAATAGAATTATAAGCATCAACAAATATAAGTTAATAATTATTAATTATTAACAAGTAACCTCATATTTGTAGGCCGGCTGAATTCGGGGTGGTGTTTTCGTGTAATACTTGTGCATTTTTATGGGGCGCAATGCAGTATTTCAGTACCTGCATTGTGTATTTTGTCAGTGTGTCTTGACCAAATTAGGTAATTGGCATTTTCGTTTCCTTACTAGTTCTTAATGTTTGGAAATGTCAAGCTCCTCCCTTGAAGTGCCTCATGAAGTGCACCATGTGCTGCTGGGAGCTGTAGTCAGCCCTCCCTGCTGTAGAACACTGGACCTTTCCACCTCTGATACACAACCTCCTTCTCGCCACTTCCACACGTCCCTTGCAGCCTGTAGTAATCACTATCCTATATTTTTGGATCAACTTTTTCTTGGTTTCCATAAATTAATAAGAACACATGGTATTTGTCTCTGTGTTTCTGACTTATTTCACTTAACGTAATATTGCTGCAAATAACAATTTTATTGTTGTGGTTGAATAATACTCCATTGTGTGTGTGTGTCCCATATTCTTTATCTTTTCATCCATTCGTGGCATGTAGATTGAGTGTGTATCCTAACTACTGTGACTAGTGCTGCAGGGAAAAGAGGAGAGCAGGCATTGCTTCGGTGTGCCCGCTTCGTTTCCTGTGGCTGTGTGCCCAGAACTAAGATAAGAGCACCGTATAACCTCTCCGTGTTGTTCTCCATCGGTCTGCAGTAATTTGCAGTCTCACCAACAGCATAAGAGTTGCCATTTTTGCTTTCTCACTAGCATGTTTTTCTGTTTGATAACATCTGATCCCTCATTGTGGTTTTGATTTGAATGTCTCTGATGGCTAATGGTATTGAGCATTTTATCATGTATTCGTTGGCCTCCTGTATCTCCTCTTTTGAGAAATGTCTATTGAGATCCTTTGGCCATTCTTAATTGAGTTGCTTCTTTCTAGTGATGATTTTGTTTATTTTATACTCTCTATATTATGTCAAATGAATAGTTTGCAGATATTTTCTCCCGTTCCGCAAGTTCTGTCTTTGCTCTGTAGATTGTTTCTTTTGCTGTGTAGAAGTGTTTTGACTGGATGGAGTCCTATTTGTCTGGTTTTGCTTTTGTTGCAGGTACTTCTGGGGTATTACCTAACAATCATTGCCTATACTGAAGTTACTGAAGTCTTGAAATATTGCCCTTTTTTTTTTTTTTTTCAGGCAGAGTGGACAGTGAGAGAGAGAGAGACAGAAAGGTCTTCCTTTGCCATTGGTTCACCCTCCAATGGCCACTGCGGCCGGCGCACCACGCTGATCCGAAGGCAGGAGCCAGGTGCTTTTCCTGGTCTCCCATGGGGTGCAGGGCCCAAGCACTTGGGCCATCCTCCACTGCACTCCCGGGCCACAGCAGAGAGCTGGCCTGGAAGAGGGGCAACCGGGACAGAATCCGGCGCTCCGACCGGGACTAGAACCCAGTGTGCCGGCGCCGCTAGGCAGAGGATTAGCCTAGTGAGCCATGGCGCTGGCCACCCTTTTGTTTTCTTCTAGTGCCTTGATTATTTCAGGTTTCACATTTAGATCTTTGACCTATTTTGAGCTAATTTTTATATAGGCTAGGAGGTTAAGATCTAAGTTCGGTCCTCTACATATAGAAACCTAGTTTTCCTAGCACATTCATTGAAGAGGGTGTCCTTTCTCCAGTGAATTCTCTTTTTTTTTTTTTTTGACTTTTATTTAATGAATATAATTTCCAAAGTACAGCTTATGGATTATAATGGCTTCCCCCACATAACTTCCCTCCCACCCCGCTCTCTCTCCCCTTCCATTCACATCAAGATTCATTTTCAATTCTCTTTATATACAGAAGATCAGTTTAGTATATATTAAGTAAAGATTTCAACAGTTTGCACCCACACAGAAACACAAAGTGAAAAATACTGTCTGAGTACTAGTTATAGCATTACTTCACATTGGACAGCACCTTAAGGACAGAGAGCCTACATGAGGAGTAAGTGCACAGTGACTCCTGTTATTGACTTAACAAATTGACACTCTTGTTTATGGTGTCAGTAGTCACCCTAGACTCTTGTCATGAGTTGCCAAGGCTATGGAAGCCTTTTGAGTTCGCAGACTGTGATCTTATTTGGACAAGATCATAGTCAAAGTGGAAGTTCTCTCCTCCCTTCAGAGAAAGGTACCTCCTTCTTTGATGACCTGTTCTTTCCACTGGGATCTCACTCGCAGAGATCTTTCATTTAGGAATTTATTTTTTATTTATCTATTTATTTTTTTTTGCCAGAGTGTCTTGGTTTTCCATGCCTAAAATACTCTCATGGGCTCTTCAGCCAGATCCAAATGCCTTAAGGGCTGATTCTGAGGCCAGAGTGCTGTTTAGGAAATCTGCCATTCTATGAGTCTGCTGTGCATCCTGCTTCCCATGTTGGATCGTTCTCTCCCTTTTTTATTCTATCAGTTAGTATTAGCAGACCCTAGTCTTGTTTATGTGATCCCTTTGACTCTTAGTCCTATCATTATGATCAATTGTGAACAGAAATTGATCACCTGGACTAGTGAGATGGCATTGGTACATGCCCCCTCGATGGGATTGAGTTGGAATCCCCTGGTATGTTTCTAACTCCAGTGAATGTTCCACATCTTTGTTGAGAATCAGTTGGGTGCAGATGCATGGATTTATTTCTGTGCTGTCTATTCTGTTCCTCTTATATGTATCTGTTTTTAATGTTAATACCATGCTGGTTTGGTTACTGTAGTTCTGCAGTATGTATAGAAATTAGATGGTGTGATGCCTTCAGCTCATTCCTTTTTTTGTTCAAGATTGGTTTGGTTATTCAGGGTGTGTGGTGCTTCCGTATGAATTTTAGAATTGTTTTTTTTCCAGTTCTTTGAAGAATGTCATTTTCATGGGATTGCAATGAATCTGTAAATCATTCTGGGTAGTAAAGAAGGATTACGTGTGTGTGTGTGTGTGTGCTTAAGATTTATTTATTTATTTCTAAGAGTTATGCACAGAGAATCTGCTGGTTCACTCCTCAAATGACCCCGAAGCCAGGAGCCCGGCATTTCATGCAGGTCTCCTGTGTAGATGCTGGGGCCCAGGCACGTGGGCCATCTTCCCCTGCTTTCTCAGGCAAAAGATCATGGAGCTGGATTGGAAGTGGAGCAGTCGGGTCTCAAATCGGTGTCCGTATGAGATGCTGGCATTGTACATGGTGGCTTTACCAGCTATGCCACAGGTCCAGCCCCAGAATTAGTAGAAAAAGTCAAATATATTAACATGGGAAGCTTTGATTTATTTTTTTCTCTTATCCAGTTGTTCTTTTTTAGTGTAAAGGTTTAAATTTATTTAAAAGAGTTAAAGAATTAGAGTTGAGAGAGAGAAAGAGAGAGAGAGATACTGAGCTTCCATCTACTTTTTTACTTTCAAAATGGCTGCAATGACCAGGGTCAGGCCAGGCTGAAGCCAGAAGCCTGGAATTCCATCTAGCAAGTGCAACTACCATTGCAAGTGCAATTCCATCTACCAACTGTAGGGCCCAAGCAGTTGGTCCATCTTCTGATGCTTTCCCAGGTGCATTAGCAAGGACCTGGATTGGAAGTGAAGCAGCTAAGGCTTGAACAGTACCCATATGGCAGGCAGCGGCTTCACCCTCTGCCACATTGATGGCCCCTCTAGTTTTTTATATTAGTGCTTTTCATTCTCATTGTAGAGGTCTTTGACATCCTTGGTTAATTTTGTTCCTGAGTATCATATTTCTTTTATAACTTTTGTAGACTGCTTTGCACTTAAAGTATCTTTCTGAACAAGTTTGTTAGTAGTATGTAAAAACACCTCTGACTGATGTTGATTTTGTAGTCTACACCTTGACTGAACTCCTGTGTCAGCTCTGAGAGTCTTTTGGTGAAACCTTTAGGTTCTATATAGGGAAATGTTATTTACAAACAGGATAAGTTGACATCCTTCTTTAATGCATGTAGTCTTTTACTTCTTCCCTCTCTCACTTCTCTCTCTCCCCCTTCTCTCTCCCTCTCTCTCTTACTCTTTCAAATAAATAATCTTTTTTTTTTTTTTAAAAAAAGGAAGGTATAATTTGCAGTGAAGCC